GCGCCATTTCCTTGTGACCACACATAGGATATTTTCCTCCCATCCTACAGATGAGCTTCTGGCAAAGGTCAGTGTTTAGCTCCATCTGTTTATTCCCATAGAAAGCTTCCCTGCATGTTTGTTTGTGTTTAAGATCATAGCGTGTTAGCACCAAGCTGCAGACGGCCTACTTTTCTTCAACAGCCTACACCTGATCTCTTGAGTCATTTAACCACAAACAGCAACTTTGGTCATTAATACACTGTATTTGAGAGATCTGACCTAATTGTAGATTAAGTACCTCTCCTATTTATGAGCTTCAATCTGAGCGGGGACAGAGCACTAAGATCTTTTACTTAAGCAAAAGTGGCATTACCAAAGTGTAGACATACTTACAACTAAAAGTCTTGCATTATAAAATGTAACTAAGTAAAAGTACACAAGTATAAGCATAACAATACCAAGTAATCACTCTACACAACAGTCCATATACAAATTATATTATTGAATAATTGATGCAATATTGTTTTTGAACACTTACATTTTACAGTTGTTTAAGTTTGAGTATTTTTTACGACATTAATGTTTTGTATTAATATTCTGAATCTTCAATGTAACCAAAGTTATCTAATAAATGTAGAGAAGTACAGTATTTGCCTATAAAAGGTATAAAGTAGCAGGAAATAGATGTACAAGTAAAGTAGGATTACCTTGTTAATTGTATTAAAGAACAGCAATTGAGTAAGTGCATGACGTTACTGTTCACCACTGGCTGTAGCAGGTAAATCACATTAACAGTAATCATGTTTATCCCAGTCAGAACAGCACAATGTGAAGTGAACATGCTTCATCATGACCTCATATATCCTGTTGACTGCGTTTACCTGGACATTCAAGGGGATCTTGTGCACCTGCAGGTTCCTCTGGGTAAGTGTTAGCTCTGTGAAATGTGCCATTTAAAGGGGACCTATCATGCAAAATGCACTTTTGTACGTCTTTTATACATGAATATGTGTCCCCGGTGTTCCAGGGAACTCACCAAGTGTCAGAAAACACAACCCTCTCTATTTTCCTCCATACCCAAATCTTTAAAAAAGGGGCTGCAACGGATCTGATAAAAACTGATCCAGATTTGAACACTGTCCTGACGTCAGGACGGTGGCGCTACGGCTATTGGGCCAACTCCACCAATCAGGAGGAGACAGCCACGGCCATTGCCGTTCGAAAGCGCTGGAGACGCTGTAGTACATATGCCAGGCCTGTAAGTGGCGCTGTAGTCTGCCACAAAAGCAGCGAAGAAGACTTGGTTACCATGGTTACCCTTCTGTTTATTCTCCGTTGTGGCTTTCTTTCTCCCTCCCCGAGGCAAGCGTTTGCTCCCGCTGCAATGCAATCCCTCCCCGTCGAGGCAAGCACTGTAATTCTCTCCGGTTAGTCCACCAGCAGATGACAAACACCCACCTCTCCGCCTCTTCCAAGGAACGAGGGGACCGTGCGGCAGAGTTTCAGTTTCAGTTTGTTTCGCCGGTCAAGATGTCCGTTAAAGTTTAAGTCTTCCGGACAAAATTAGAAAAGTGCCGGTCAAAGGTCGTCTTTGTTATTTATTGAGCTTTAAAACAAATGAATAACGACTCTATATAATAAAACACGAGGACGGAGATCTCTTTTTCTCCCCCTCTTCTGACAGCCCAGCAGCTGATCAGAGCACGTCTCCCCTCTCCTGCAGGGGGGCGTGGTCAGCAGAATCAGACCCGTAGACAGCAAACAGCACATAGAGCGAAATTAGGCATGGCTAAAATGCATGATCTGTTTGGTATTTTGAAAACAGAAACGTATAAATATACCTTATATAGGTATGGCCCTACAATATATCATTTAAATATAGCATGATAGGTTTCTTTTAAATGTTCTATCAATAACACATTTTGATCATTGTTGTATTTTTTATGGTGACTATAAACCGTCATTATTTGCATTTCAGATATGCCCATATAATGCCATCAAATTCTTGCCTAGGGAGAGGCACATTCAAGAACACACAAGCCGACAGCTGAAACAACTTGTGGGTAAGGATCTCATAAACTCAGCAATAAACACTGCCCAATAAAATCGTTACTTTTAATTAAAACATATTTAGTAGGCTTAAATATATTCAGATATGCTGATGTGTTTTAGCTCCACAAGCATTAAATGTGCATTGGTCCTTATGGTTTTTTATGGGAGACAATAAAAGTTAATCTTCCAGTATCACTCTAATTAAAATGTAATGACGGAAAAAAGATTATATATCAAGGTAATCCAACAACAAGCTGTATTGTCTTATCAAGTTTGTGAGGCCAAAGGTATATTTGCATTCTACTAATAATTATACTTTACATCTGTGTAGGCAGAGATATGATGTGTTGAGCTCATTTTACTTTATTTATCAGGCTCTGAAAGTAAAGGGTTTGCAGTCATACCAGGCAGCCCAGACCGCGAAGGAGCTCTTCATAAAAGGCTGACAAAAACCGAGAAAGAGATTCTGGCAATCAAGGCCAGGGCCGCCTGTGAGAAAGCATCATGGGAGAGGAGGTTTACGCAGCTGCAGAGAAAGCACGAGGATCTATGTAATCAGGTGTGTTTGTGAACGTGTGTGTTTGCATGTGGTTAAAGTAGTGAGTAGTATTCAATGGTTTACGTACGTTTAAGTAGCAATACCAGTCCTGCATCCACAATTTCATGTAAGAAAAAGTACAGAAGTATTGGAAGCAGAAGTTTTAAACATAAAAAATACATAATACAAATAGTCACAAAGCAGAGTGGCTAGTCAAATGTGAGTGAATTAATAATATATATTGGTCTTTCATAGAACTGTCTAATTTATCTAGAACATTTTATGTTTCGTATTCTTTGTGGTTCATGTACTGTAGATATGTTTATTTGCCGCTGTTTATTGTTTTTATTTTATTATTTCATTACGTTCATAACTTATTTCCAACGTTTTTTAACGCCTAAACACCCTGCTGCTACTGTAACTAAATCATTTCCCATCTATCTATCTATCTAGAGCTGATTTGAACTACTTCACAGTTTAATCGGTAACAATGATGATATTTTAGACCCTGATCATATTTTCATGTATGTTTTTGTAGTTGGAAGGTATCTATAGCACTACGAACTTCAGTAAATGTTCTTTGTTACTTTCCACCAGTGGTAATAATAATTTCTCTTCTCTCCCCAGCTGGCCTCTCAGGCTGTGTTGGTGAGAGAGGCTGGTTGTGATGAAGAGTCGGTGGGGAACAATGGAGAAACACTTGAGGAGTGTTCAAGTAAATGACAGTAACACACTGAGCTCATTCAGATGCTTTCATACATGTATGCTTTCTAAATTCAATAACAATGTCAACTCTCATGTACAGGAGGTCTCTCAAGAATGATGCGCCAACACAAAGGGTCTGATGTGTCATCAAGAGGCGACGTAAGCAGTTTGTCAGGCAGCCAGTTTTTCTCATCAGTGACTCTGAGCCCAAGACCTTCCTCCTCCTCCTCCTCCTCCTCCTCATCTTCAGCCTCCAGGTGCAGTGATTGGTAGAGAGTTGGTTTAGATTAATATTGACCATTCTCATATCTGTACAGCACATAACAAGCAGCAGCTAGAGTTAGATTATCTCAGCACAGTGACCTGAAACAGGGAAACAGCGACCTCTATAGGTCACTGATTTATTGACCTCTTTAAAACGACACAGCTATATCACTTTTAAATTATGAAAACTGTTTTTCTTTTTTTGTATTTTTTGTATTTTTCTTTACTTTAAATGTTCCAAATGTTTACAAAACACATGTCACACTATATATTTGCTCTTAACTTCTTACTTCCTCTTACTGGATTAATGTATACACCATTATCACCTAAAGTAAATTCCATGTCTGTCTAAACTTGCTTAGCGTGACCTGATTCTTACCCTGATTTGCATAAACTGCACCCAGAAACAGTTTACGAGGGTTGTGTGCAGGACTGTTTCCTGGTTAGGAGGGAGGGAGCATTACTTTCATACAGTCTTTACAGGCTTCCTAATACCTGCTTCCAGGCAGGAACTTGTCCAGTACTGTAAATCATGTTTTACTATTCAGTTATGTGCAGATTAACAGAGGCGAATAATGCAAATTAGTAGGATTTCCAGCTGCTACAGTATGAGGTGGATTTCACTACTTTGCTGTACACAGCTTCATGCTGTACGGACGTGTCTTAGTCTCACTGAGAAATGCTGAATTGTAGGTGCAAGGTCATGTTTGGTTGAAAAAACTTCAACAATGACAGCCCTTGGTTATAGCAGGTCATAAAAACAGGTTTTGCACTGTGCACAAAATGTGTTTCATGCCCTGAGTTAAACACTCAAACATGTTCACAATGTTAATAACATGTTAATGTTGTGCAGGTATGTTTACCAAAACTTACTGCGTTATTGTAACATGTAAACATGCTCACATTTGCTGATTACCTTAAACAGTAATACAACTGAAGTACAGCAGAGATTGATGGGAACGTCATTAGTGTTTCAGGTATTGCTGTCATATCTCCCAAATGTCAAAATGACACTGAATCAGAATCAGAATCAGAAACAGGTTTATTACCAGGTAGGTTGACACACACGTGGAATTTGACTTGGTGTTGTGGTGCATACATAAAAGTAAAAAAAACTAAAGAAAACACAGATAGCAAACTATTTTAAGAACACTATAATAACATTACAAAAAAAGACAAAATATAGTAAAATAGATAATAATATAAAGCAGTCATTTACATTGAAATAAAATGCAATAAAATATAAAATACGTGCAGTAAGCAAACCAGATATTGTCAACATTGTGTGCATACGCTATGATGTTGCTGAGGTGAAGTGGTCTAAGATTTAATAAATGTTACATATTTTTAAATGTATTTCACTGGACTACTAAAAAAAACGTTTTATATGATATCACTTATGTTTTAAAGAAGTAAACCCTCTCTCCCTCCAGTGTGAGGTCATGGAGGTCGTCCAAAGGTCCTCACCGGGTTTTTGTTCCCCATTCCCCCATGGACCTGGAGCTGGGTCACCGGGTCAGGATCATGCTGCCGTCGGGACGGGTCAGCACGGGAACGATCCGTTACCTGGGCCACCTGCAGGGGGAGGCAGAGCTCCATCTGGGGGTGCAGCTGCTGACACCTGATCACGGATTGCATGATGGCAGCCACAGGGGACACAGCTACTTTGAATGGTAACTGATCTCATTTGCCTACTGTGTGAACACAAGCAACACGTTGCATCTCAGGGTGTGTGACCTGACATTCAGTGCTGCTCCGGGATTTATTGGGTTCCCCACTGCGTCACCCGGATATCACATTACAGATTTATATCTTTGCTATTAACTAAATGTTCTGGCAGGATCGTCTGAAATTAAACTCTTATTGTCGAACATCTGGCTCGTTGAGTTAAGGCATAAGACTACAGCCCGTAGGTATTCAGCTGCCTCCAGACACACTCACTCAAATTATTTGCACTTAGAGGTAAACTTGTCAACCGCTCAATAACAGTCTTTCGAGGTGAAGCATTAACCTGTCATGTGAAGTGTGAACTCATTTGACTGTAGAGTGACACATTCTTCTCCTAGTTCATGGAAACAGGTTTCATATGTAGTCTTCTCTTCAAAGACTCAGTAGGGAAATACAAAAAACACATGAACTACACATGGAAAATTGAAAACAAATCTTTTCTTTACCTTCTTGTGACTAAAGCTCATTAACTCATGAATATGAACTTTTAATGTATGACTTCAGGACTGTAATGGAAATATGTCTTCATAGCGATATCTTGATGATTTTTCAGTAGTGTCTGTATTTCATTTATCTCTTAAAAATGTGTTATTTCTCTCCCTTAAAGCAATCCTGGCTATGGCGCCTTTGTACCTTTCAACAAACTACTGATGGCCTGGGAGTGACAGAAGTACAGGCTCCTGATTTAGAGCCAACTGGATGCATGGCAAGAGGGCCAAGAAAGCAAAAGAGTAGTTACATTAATGAATTCTAAAAATGTATTATAAAGAGATAAATCTTTGTATCAAAGTATTTAAAAAAAAGTGTGTATTGTCTTATGTCTTATTGTCTTATTCCCAATAACAATACCTTGTTGAATACTTCTGTTTTGTGTGCTTTGGTACACAGTAATGTTGGACTTGCAGAAATAAATGGCTGTTCTTTTGTTGAGTTAGTCGGTGGATTAGTCCTCTCACTAAACAGGCCATACAGTGTCTTAGTCCCACTGACAAATGAGAGCAAGGACATGCTTGGTTGAAAAACTTCAACAATGACAGCCCTTGGTTATAGGTCATACAAAAAGGTTGTGCACTGTGCCCAAAATCTGCTTCATGCCCTAAGCTAAACACTTAAACATGCTCACAATGTTAACAACATGTTTGTGTTTAGTAGGGATTTTTACCACAATTGTGTTATTTTAGCCTGAAAACATGATCAAATGTGCTGATTACCAAACACAGTAGTACCACTGAAGTACAGTAGGGACTGATGGGAACGTCATTAATGTTTCAGGTATTTGGTTGAAAACCAATGCTGTCAGGAGATTCAGAATCAGAATCAGAATCAGAACACCTTTATTAGTCCCAAGGAGGGGACATTTGCGTAGTTACAGCAGGAAAAAGAGCCACAGACAGCTTAATGTTACATACTGTATGTTAAATATGTGACATGCATTTAAAAAAAGTACTAAGTTATGATATAATAAAACAAATATATAATAAAAAATAAAAAGTTACATAATTTAAAAAAATACACATCCTGTAACAGTTCTTAGGATTTAGCAGCCAGGCATATATTACACAGTTATTAACGGCATCTATATATATTGCACATCTAGCCCATATTGCACATAGGTAGAGTTACTATCCCTCTTCTGGGGACCATGAATGTGTTCACCCAAATTCCAAGTAATCCATCCTGACAGTGTTTCTAGAGGTAAACTCAGAAGATCACTGAAGTCTGTATGTCTGTGCGAAATGTAATCAAAATCAATCATATAGTTGTCAAGCTTGCTGTGTAAATCAACAGGAACTCAAGAGCAGCCATAAACTGTGTTAATTCGATAAGTATTTAATTTAAGTGAACATAGAAACACACACGCAGTCTGACCTTCCCCCCCCTCAGGCAGTTTTTTTATTTAGCTTGCAACATCAGTGAACATTACTCAGTTTGTAAAACTCCAGACTTTTAAGAAAAATGATTGAAGTAAGACTAAGAGACCTACTTGTGAAATTGAGTAAGGGAGTTTGGTAGAAAGATCTTAGGCAATGTGTTATGATGTAAGCGAAAGTATTTGCCAATATTAAGTTCCTGATAAACTTTAGAGACTTATTCACAGAGGCATTAGCCAAGATCAAAAAAGTACGACACACTCCATTTCATACATGACATGTTTTTATTTTGAATATGTTTTTTTTAAGACACGCTTACTGTAAATTGATCTAACAGAACATATTTACACAACACTTGTTCCGGGAGTGTTTCATGAAACTGATGCAGATTTACAGGAAAGGTTGATGACACACAGGGAAATGACTTTCGCTTGTACTCAATAAAAGTTTTCACAGTTTCCTTGTTCCTTGTGAGTTATTATAAATACAATTTTGGAGCGGGGATCCAGCTTCAACCAGCCTAATGTGGCTAAAGCTTAAAAAATATAACATACTTATTTCTCAGGTATAATACAGAAAAACCCAATTTTCTGGAGAACTAGAGTGAAATAAAAAAATAAAAAAATAAAACTTTACACAGCCATTTCTTATTGCATGAGAACTTCTTTTGGAAATAGATTAAAATATATAACATTTGACACAATATGCATCAACAGTCAAAACTCTAGAAGCACTAGGCTTAACTTTTTTTGGTAAAGTAGCACATTTCATCCAAATGATTGGATCACAAGGTCACATTTGACGATAATGTCATACACATACATAGCACAGATGTCTTAACTGTTCATAAATAGGAAGGCACATTTGCAAACTAATGGTTGATCTGACCATTAAAATATTATCATATCGTATCCATAGACACAATTAAGCTTTTCAAGCAAATCCTTGTTTGCTTTGAGAGAGTCAACACAAATGTTATGGTAGTTCTGACTTAAAAGAAAGCGATGGTAGAAAATCATCAGAGGATTATCAGAAAATCCCTCTCTGAGCCTTCAGGTTGAGGATTTCTGCTGCCAGTTTCTCCGCATTCGTCACATGAGGATACATTTCCATGACGGTATCCACCTGACTGGGGTTGAAGATGGCTTGCAGTTTCTTGCGGAGATCCATCCTTTTTTGTGGGTCAAACGCATCAGGGGATCCATGCGTTGGGCCCCAGGAGTGGTACTGCTGGCCTTTGTAAGAGCCGCTGTTGGAGTGTGAGGAGTGGGCCGAAGAGGGGAGACTACACGGTGTCCTGGCTTGGGGAAACCCCTGAAATGGATCCGACCAGTAACTTTGCTGATGATGCGGGGCTCCACCGTAATGCTGATGGCTGTTTTGGGGAGGCACACTAGGCGGGAACATTTGAGGAGGGTAGCTGTCATATTGGGAATGACCCTTGCAGTCTGGGTTTCCATGAGGCTGCTGGTAAACTGTTGAGGGGCCTACATGGGAACAGCACCTGCAAGACTGGCTGCTGTTGTTGTTCTCTAAATGCACTGGGGCCTGTCTGGGTCCGGCGAGGGCAGTTAGCTGCTGGGGCCTGGGTCTGTTGGGGTTACTGAGGCAATGCGAATAGTCAGAGTACTGACTGTCATAAGAGCCAATGCCAGAATCAAGGTACTCGTGAGACACGTTGGCATAGTATTGACTGGGCATGGAGTGCATCCCAGGCCAATCTGTGTGACACTGGTTTACAGGACAGGGCATTTGATTAGGACTTTTTCTCTGATCCTCCCAGTACAGCAGTGTATTTTCACAAACCTGACTGGGATGTGAAGGACTTTGCCTGTCTCTTGTGTGCTCTTTGGTAGAGTCTAGAGGATAGGAAAAGGCATTATGAGCAGGATCGGACTGGTGCTGTCTTGGTGATAATCTGGCATTTCTTTCTTCTTTTACAGTAGAAATCTGGGCTTTTTCTCTCAGTTCATCCGCCAAGGACAGGTAAGACTGGCTCGACCGCTCTGGATGGTAGAACTTACATTTGATACCATAAGTGCACTTTTTGTCTGAGGAAAACAGAAACAGATACACAAAAATAAGTTAACGGTCATGTCATTTAGGATACAGTTTACTTCCTTGTCCAAATCTTAAAATAGCGGAGCTCGGTGCTTATCAAATCTTACCATAAGGACAGAGCTGTCTCTTCTGCTCTGTAGGCAGAGGATTTTTCCGAAGGAAGTTGTCAAGACTGGGGCCATGGCGACCCAGAGGGTCATCTGGGGGCATGAACCTGGGGGGAAAGAAATGATAAATTGCTGATTTCTTTCTTTATTTGAGACAAATCAGCTGGGTGCTGCACGATTATCTGTTGCTTACTTGTCATTCACAAAGGAGAACATGAGAAGCCTCTCCTCGATGCATTTCTTCCACTCAGGTCTTTCTCCTTGGAGGTCACGGTAGGTGTCATTGGATACGATCACTCCATCCGACTCATATGCCACCTTGACGATAAAGCGGTCATCATAGCAAACCACCCGCTTACCACCAACACGGCGCGATGGAGTGAAGACCAATATTTTCCTTTTTTCAAGCTCCATCAAAAAGTGTTGATCTGAAAGTGCAAACAATCACTGTTGAAATGGCTGTGGAGAGTATAGAGCAGGTACATGTTCTCCCCTATTTGTTGAATGGTACATAAAGAGAATAGCTTTGTTCTGTGACATGATCCAAAACCACATGTAGATACATAAACCACTGAGCATTTTACAAAGCCACAACAATCAAATATAGGAAACAAAAGACGTCAAACAAAGTATCACCTGTACAAACATAACTATCTAATATGTACATTATATCATTGTACTCTACCTGTAATATGACTAGGTACAAAATATGAGTTAAAACACAATACGTAAGTGCTTTTTAGGTAATTCGAAAGTTAAATGAACCATAAAATCTGAATGAATGAACAAGAGGCCACGTCTCATGAAAGCTGGATGTTTTGTATGTCTGAGCAACTACTTTTCAGACAATAAAGCCACTTTTCTAACTGAATGTCTCTCAGGTAGACTGTCTTCACCTAAGCTCTTTAAGTACACTAGGTGTGGAAGAAAAAACACAGCTGTACTTCCTGTTGGGGGTTTTCCAGGAATGACTGCAGGCTGAATTTTACTTCCTTGTTCACGGATTGAAAATAGAACCTTTGGATTGCTCCACCCAGGCTCACACTTACTAACTCGTGAGAGCCACAGGGTTTTTTGTAAGGATGTTCCACCCTTTATTATTGTGGTTTGAGATCTCAAAAGGGCAGCTTCTCTACTCAAAGAGATGGGGTAGTGTAGATATGATATGGATCTGGTTTGTAAAGATACACCCAAACATTTCAGTGATTCAGCTCTCTGAAATGTAAAGCATTTGTGCTGTGTTCCTCTGCAAGAGATTATCACACAGATGAACCCACAAAGAAACTATTGCTTCAAATAATTGTCAGCATATGGAAACATCAGTTGGGATTCAATTGGGTAAACCTGTTGCCCAATATTTAATTTGTTGCCCAATGGCTTTGGGATGAGTTCAGTGTTTTAACATTGAACATTGAAACAGCTTGTGGCTTGTGGTTAATTTGGTATTGCTTCACAGATAAAACAAAATGCATACCTACAGCTCCAGTTTCATGGGGAGATTTAAAGTGCACCTATCATGCTATTTTTAGGCAATAGGTCTCAGATATATAAAAATATATAAAAAACATGTCTATGAAGTGTTTTGCTCAAAATACCAAACAGATCACCCATTCTAGCCATGCCTCATATATCCCTCTATTTCACTTCCTGTTTCAAAAGTGCTGATTTGGGGTATAAAGCTTTAAAAAAAAAAGAAATTTGATTAAAAAAAAGGACGGGGCTGAGCTCATGCGGGAGATTCTACCGGCAGATTCTGCCATGATGAAATGCCATATCATGGATTATCAAGGACTATTTCTGAAACAGTATGGAGCTCAAAGGCTTTCTCTCTTGGTTATACCACAAGGTGAGTTCCTTTTTATTTCCTGCTTCTTCACACACATGCTCTGTGCAGTACAGGTTAGCTCTGAGTGTTAGCGATGCTAATGTAAACATGCACCGACCATATTAGGTCCAAAACAGTCGGGCATTGTTTCTGATAGCAACGTTTCTGATAGAGCCGTGGGTGTAAAGCCAGCCTACATTTCCGATATTACTTCATATCGGACGCAAATCTGGATCAGCTCCGTTGTAGCCCCGTTTTTAGAGATTTGGGTACGGAGGAAAAGAGAGAGGATTTTATTTTCTGACGCTGCTTGAGTTCCCTGACACACCGGGGACACATATTTATGTATAAAAGACATAAAAAAGTGCATTTTGCATGATAGGTCCCCTTTAAATGTCACATTTATACATCACACAGACAATGCAAACGAACAACTTGTTTCTGAATAGTTAAAGGAAGGGGTAAACATTTTGGAAAATCACAACAACACTAAATCTTGTTTGTTTAATCTAACCAAACACAGTGTAAAAAAACAATTCATTTACATGAGGATTATGTGTTGAATTATTTCTTGTGTGGAGACTAAGTCCCTTGTAAAATATCCCATTTATATATTCACACCTTAATCTTAACAGTTTCCTCCTGATTGGCATCTCCGTACTCACCTAAGCTAACCAGCGTTTAGCAGCTCTTACATCGGATCATCACTGAAATTGCAGTTTGTCTAGACTGCCTTTTTATTGGCAGTGAGTCAATAAGAGTTACAAAATGCAAACAAAATCTTTTGTCTGCGTTAGGTACATTTGATGTAAGCATAACCACAATTTCTAACCGCCATGCAAGCTATGCACTCTGGCATACAGCCCAGATTGTGTATTCCTCACTGAACAGACTTTAATGATTTATTAATATTTTTACTATCTCCAATGGATGTTCAGAACATGTATGAACAAATCTGTTTGAACACATTTTGAAACGACTGTATTGATCAACATTGTCAGTGAGCAAATCTGTAGCTTTTAGCAAAAGAGCTACTAAGCCGAAGAAAATCATTCATACACATTCAATTAATAGACTGTCGCTCTATTGAGCTATAAAGCTAGTTTTGTGCTGAACCAAATGTAACAGTATGGAAAAGAAACAATCTGAAATTCAGATAAGCCGCATAAATGTTGGGCCTTGGTAATTAGAGATGAGTTTTGCTTACTTTTGTAGACACTCAAGTACATTTGAATGGTAATCAGGCCACTTAGATAAAAAAAACAGTGACTACATCTTTGAACTCAAGTGAGTCGACTGAGCGAAGTTATTTAGGATGTGCCCCTCTACTCTCTCCTGTATGCTAAGAGTGCGAAGTCCAGTCCTGTGGCCTAACCTCACCTAGTTAGCCTAGTTGACCTGCTGGCCCCTAAAGTTTATGACTTCAAAGTTCAAGCAATTCAAATTAAAAAAGGTCAGCCTCTACTTGGTCATGGCTTAATCAATGCGATTGTTTCTGCTTTGACTGGGAAGGGTTTGTTGGCTACATCAACATCTGTAGTATCTGTCTGCTTGGTTGTACACTTATAGGATCCTCACCTGTTATCGGGGCATCAGGTCTGGGCTGCTCTTTGCGCCAAGTTGGGACAAACACGGTAATGGTATTATGACCTCTGTCCAAGAAGAAGTTTACTGCGAGCTGGATGCCTCGACATGAGAACACTTCCTTGTTCCCATGACTGTAAAAGAAAGAAGTCGGGTTGGATGAGTTCAAATCATTTGACTATAAATACATTTAAAGAGAGAAGTACAAATTCCGTTGATCTGTGTAAACACCACACGCCTTCAAATGTTCTTTCAAAGGGAACCTTCCCTCTGGGTTATCCGGAAGCAAACTTCCTTTACAACAATTCAAACATATTGGAGGGTGGAGATTTGTAGGTGTGTGCCTAGAATTTGCGTATTGCAGCAGTGTCTTTGAAAAAAATACATGCACAGGCAAGGTGGTAAACGCCCATTTTAAAGTGACACAACAAAGCATGTTTCAGGGTCAGGGTTGAATGACAACAAGACAATGATTGATTCAACTAAATTCCACAAACAATTGACAGGCCGAGGGTTAACAACACTTGCTTTAATCGTCATATTTATGTTGTAGTTTGTAAATTAGGATTTAAGTCATAATAATTAATCCAATAAAAGAAGAAAAAAGCTAATTTAGATTACCTCATAGCAACGTTGCTGCCGTCAATAACAATAGGTCTCAATTCAGTATCTGAATGATTCCATTCCACTGGTTTCTGTGTGATTCGGGAGGGTCCAACAGCCCAACTGGGGGGCAGCAGAGGGTCTTTTTGGCTCCTGTCATCGCTGTCGGAGCTGCAGGGTGCCGTGCCGGTCCTGCTCCGAACCAGCTCCCCCAGCACCGAGTTAGTGTCTGTGTTCAGGTCGAGCTTCTTCAGAGCAGCCCTAACCTCTGCTGAGGAGTACCCCAGCTTCCTGAAGAAGTCCACTCTGAGACTCAGCTCCTCGCTGTCGGCCTCCAGCAGGTCGGACGCTGGGCTCTGGCTGGGAAGTGCCTGATCCATCCTGGAGCATTTGGGCCTCTTTTCATCAGCATAGAAGACGTGGTGGATACTCATGGACTGACTGGAGGAAAATTACATTTAATTAGGGTTAAATGTTTATTTGACTGAATCCAGTTTTGTATCATGTTATACACCCCCCCCAAATTCTGCCAGGTCCATAAATCATCATTTTGATTTGGATGTTCTTAGTATTATATTAAAGTACATTTTGTATTTTGTTTGTGAGTGTTTGGCAACACAAGACATTTCATGATGTCACCATCCGGCTCAAGGATACAGATTTTTTTAAAGACAAAACTATTATTGATTGATCAAGAACATAATAGGCTGATTTACATAATATAAAACTAATATCACTTAATACTTTAAATTACTTCTTTAGTATTTTCATAAATAATTTCCTGTAAAAGTCTACCAATAATTTCCATCACTTCTTCATATGCTCTTGTCATAATAATCAATTGGCTTTTATGTTATTATGTGGGCTTAATCTCCACATAATAACAATTAATTGTATGTCTATGTCTTTAAAAGTGTATTTTGTCACATTTGAGAATGAGAGATTAAAACAACATGCAAATAGCTCACATCACCTACCAAACAGTTCCAGGTATATGAGGGCCGTGCTTAGACTTTACTGTAAAACTTGCTTCCCTCTCATGTTAAAAAGTGACAGCTGAACAACAGGAAACTACGCCGCTTCACCGTATCATTTCTCGGCTATGATACTTTTAAACGACAAATACACACCCTACAAGGAGGAATCTACCGGACTCAGGTACGTTTTCCAACGGGATATTTCCGCCGCTAACCGGCAGGCCTTCTGGGTAACATCTCATACCGTGAACAAAAGTTAAACCGACAACTCACCTTCACTGCTCGTGTCTGTCTCCTCGTGTCCGGTATGTCCGCAGAAGTCTCTCAGTCAGTCAGAAGTCCCTCAGAAGTCCCATTAATGTTTGGATGTACAGTAACTTTGACACGGTTCAGACTTTGTAGCGCCTCCCTCTTAGAGAATAATTTCTTCCCCTTTCCTCCTGCTGACGGAGGCATGCTGAGCCTTGAAATATTTGCATATCATAGATAAGATAAGGTGCTGCTTTTCCTTTGGCTGTCAGTCAGTAACGCAGTAGTACACCGGTTATTTCCTTTCACTCCGTGTGTGTGTGTGTGTGTGTGTGTGTGTGTGTGTGTGTGTGTGTGTGTGTGTGTGTGTGAGTGTGTAGTTAGTATGTCTTTGTTGTTGCTGTTGACCCTTCAGGCGATATACGGAATAAAACAAAATACAAATGAAAGCAAGGAATCTGATTGAAGTATTATAGATGTAGCAACCACAATTAAAATCACATCAGACCAAATTAAAAATATAAAAAACTAATTTATTTCATTTAAATATCATTAAAAAAAGATGAAACACTATATATAATATACTGAGGTTATATTTTGGATGTATGATGTTCACTAGTTTATAATACATTTTGATTTATGTCTTTTATGGATTAAACTTGATGATGGGAAGATTCATGTGAGGAACCATTAGTTTGGGGCATAGGCTAATATTATAAAATGGTTGGTGGTGTTGGAGTTAAGCTCAAAGCTTGTTACTGGAACAAAACTTCTCTCGTTTTTTTTAGTAACCTTACACCTATATGTATTAAATATCTGTGAATCCCCTCTTCTACTTTTCATATTGCGAAAGAAAAAACATATATACGACGCCCCCTTGTGGATTCAGGGTATAGTGACAAAATCCATCCAACGTATTTTTTATTTTTTAGTATTCTGATTTTTGCTAATGTGAAAAAGTCACACAAAAAAGCCATATTATATTATTTTAAATTGATACAAATAGTCATTGTAAATTATACTCTTAGAAAAAGTAATTGAGAAATATCACTCGTATAAAAAAATACTGAAAAATGCATCACAATTTAGTCATACTTTCTTTAAAATGAAAATGGTGACATAATTATAATATTGTATGTTTCTGTTTTTTATGTGGCAGGTGTGGAAATATTACTTAATATGTAACTGAGTATTTTGAGGTAGGCCTACATGTAATGCTAATTAAAAAAACTTTTGGCAGAAATTGTATTCTAAACAGTTGGAAAAAACAACCCACTTCTCAACAGCACATGATTAAAGTTTGTTTGAGGTGTTTCGTAATTGTAGAGGAAGTGTCAGTCATGATGAAGCAGAATCAGAGAGAGCGAGGGACTTTATCCTGATGTGAACTTCCCCCTTTAACTTTAAGTGATGTGTTTACACAGTCTCTAGTTTCTATGAGACTTATCTATACTAATTATTCTGAATTATTTAACTGTTCGTGTATGTCATTCTTGAAACTATAAAAAAGGGCCATAAAAGGATAGTACATAATGATTTGAATACTACCGTTTCTTGCTTTTCTATTAACCATTTTGATCGCTGTTAATACAAGTTTCCGACTGTCCATCCATACAGTATAAAAAGGTAGGCTATAAGTTTAACACTCTTTTGGTTGTAAAGAAGAAATAAATCAGATGTTTCATAACTCAAACAGGCTAAAACATTTTCAACTTATATAATTGTTATGTGGGGTATTTTATATTTTTTTATATATGTATGACCTATGGAAAAAAACGTGAATTTCTCCCTATCTTTTCTGTAGTTCAGCTTGTTGTTGGCTTTCAGAGCAGCATCCCAAACACTGATCATACATTAATTAATGTATGATCATTAAGTAATGGCTTAACAAACACATAGCACTATCAAACTGATAAACCATAGCTCACCTTTAGACACACTTAACAAGCATGGAACACAGGTTGGGTTGGTGGAAAAGCAAAGAGAAAAATGTTTCCTCTTCGATGTTATAAAACACTGATTCAGAGCAGATTGAGTTCACGTGTGGCTCCACCCAGAGCTTATCAGGATCAGGGCAAACATGGAAGACTTACAACACACAAAAACGCATTGTTGATAATAACAATCCATTCAGATGACACATATGAATACAATGCTCTGAATAGGGTAACTCCATCTGTTATTAATGACGACAGTTTTATTTAACAAAGCACTACCAGTATTAAACCCAAATGAGTCATATTATAATGTATTATTAAAGGTCAAACATTGGGTAAGACTATTTTGGGATGTAACTGAACCCTCACACAAGTCACTAAATAAACTGTACATGTCTTTGTCTTTAAATGACTTACTGCCTCATACTCAAACATAAATGACTCACATAAATACGTTTTACAATATTGAAAACATTTATGACTTTGCCATTCTAAATATAACTTTTACAAATACAGAATGGAGCCAGTGGGACCACATTAAAAGGGGGATACAGTACATTTGACCAATTCCCAAAGGTTAATACCAACACATTATCTCACAAACTGGGCTATGCAAAACCATACTGTAGCCTCCATACTGAAATCACATTGAAACACCTCCATATTTTAAATGTGAGGGCATCTTCCTAGCCTTTTTAACCCTGTTTATATCTGTAATAATAACACACTGCAACAACCCTTTACACTCATGCCTGATTGTTCTATAATTTGGCCAGTAGATGTCACCCACGCTTCATGTGAACACACTCCACACTCAATGCAGAGTTAATGGAAGACGTTGGTCTGCAGATGGTTGTGGTCTCAGTAGGCCTCTGGTTAAGCTGTGAAGTTCTGTCTAGTACATGTGTGTGTGTGTGTGTGTGTGTGTGTGTGTGTGTGTGTGTGTGTGTGTGTGTGTGCGCGCACGTTTGTAAACAACCCTTTGTGTACAGGGTTGATGGCATGGTCGAGTTGGGATCACACGGCGTGCAGCTGGTTAATGGCATATACAGAGTTGAGTTCCGGAGAGTGGAGAAAGTAATCAGGAGCCGGTTGCCAGGCGGTTGCCTCCTCTGAGGGCCACACCACCGGCCCCAGGTGTTTGCAAGGCCTGATATTACTGCAGGGCAATGAGCTGCAACCAGTGGCGATGAGTTGGGGTGAATACACACGCTCACACACGTGCAAACACACATACATTCAAGCTCAGACTAAAACACAGAAAGATACAGAGAGCAAACGTCAAGTCTCACCTTTGTACTGGTGAGTTTTCAAGTGCATTTAATCCGATCTACAAAAGCTCCGGCTAGCATTGTGTATTGTTTTATAATTGTGTGGTAAGATTATATTGGAAGCCATCATTGGCATCCAAAAAGCTTTTCTTCAGTAATGCAAATTTCAACCCTTGCTGAGAATCCAGGTGCTCAAGATCGGACGAGATTAGTCCAGATTGGGTATTGTGAACATCAAACACTTATTTCCTTAACATCTTGGGGGGAGGCATTGCCCCGCTCAAAGGCATATCTTTTTCCTCCAGGCAGGTGTAGTTTGGCAAGGCTTGTTAAACCCGAGACAGTTGATCAAATATTCAGCCAGGCTCATTGTGCTGCTGAGAGCTTTTGGATGTCTCTGGGACAGTGCAGTGCTGATAAAAAACAGCTTTGTAGTACCTCAGTGCTAGCCTCCCTTTGCTTTCCCTTTTTCGATGACTGCCCGGGTTATCCGTCTGTCAGCGAAATTAATTTTTGTATGATTTCCTTAAAAATAACCAAAGTAAAGAAAAGGCAGCCTTGAACTGGAGTAATCCATCTTGCGCCAATGGTGTCAGAGTGATTCACGATTTCCAATTTAGCCATGTTTGAATCCAAAGTAAATCAGACAGGACGGCTCCACCCTTTGTGCAGCCGGACGACAAACCCTCAGTGACAAGAGCTTTCAAACTAACATATCCCCCACATTCATCTTGTTCATTTATTACTTTACTTGTCCTACATAGATCAGCAAGCAAGGACCCCCCTGGTATTGTGTGGGGTTGCAGAGAAGGCATTAAAGCTGCGTGGCTGAAGCACTGATTGATCGGACAAGATCAGACAAAAGAGCAGTGGAATGGATAGGGCCCGGGTTTTTAACTCTATGTTTAATTACATTTGCTTTGATTAGTGACAACTGAATTCCCTGAGCAGGATGTGATCGCAATTTAGTGGATACTGCAGTCTGCTGATCATAGACATCCACCCGCTGTGATATACTGTTGAAGCATTTTCATTAATCACATACACCGACTGGTTTCTCTAAATGTGAGTGGCTTATATACCTTCTTACTGGCCATCAATCAATTACATTTTTTTCATTTCTTGTGCCTCTTTAAGATATTATTTTTACTGACCATATGCCGAGTCATTGCCACACTGCGAAACATACAGACTTAATAGAAAGGTAACTTAATAAGATTGGTGCTACAATCAATATATATATGTTTTACAATGGCACTACATTGCCACCACTCCCAACCCCAAAACAAAAAAGGTCAACTTGCAAAGAGTAGTTACATATAAAGCTATTGCCCAGGAGGCATACACTTAAACAAAAATACAATCAAGCTTTGGACAAAACAGATCAATTTCTTCATATAGAGATTTTGAATCAGAAGAAATATAATCTAAAACCTTTTGTACCTGAATTGTCATGTGTCTGTCCATTTCAAAATGAAAGTGCTGGGCATGTTGTGATGCAGATCCGTTTGATGTACCCTCAGAGCAAGAACAGGAACACAGGAATGGCTTTCATGATTGCTGACTTTAACGATCTTTGGAGTAGAAAGACGATCATAGAGCAAGGAATTTGAATAGGCATGTACAGAGGGGCTAGTTTTAAGTGTTTTTCAATACGGCATGATTTTGATTTGGTAAATTATGGCCCCATTTGGAGTAAAATAGATAGTCGACAACGTCATACAGTGTGTTTTAGGGCAGGAAAACCTTGTGATTGTCAGGTTACTACCACAGAGTTGTCCTGTTTGTTTGCCTTAAAAAAGGTAAACAAACAGCCCTCACTTCTGGTTGCAAAAAAGCAACGGCCAAAAACCAAGATGGCGATGGCCAAAAAGCCAAAACCAAGTGTTTTATCCATAGCCCTCAAACCAATGAGTTATGTCCCTGTGTCCACTTATTTTATGCATGTAACCCATGTGTGTATTGTCATCACATTTTTATAATGTTTAACCTCTGAACTTACACTCATTTGT